CCACAGTTGTATCTGCAATGCCACAACAGTGTCCTGAGCTGGTAGTTTTCATTCAGTAAGTGTTTGTTCACTAGCTGTAACCTGATACCATTATTTAATCAGCCACAAGTGTGACTATCACCACCCATCATCCTCTCTGAGGGGCCCGAATAAGTATGCCACTGAGAGAGCTATATCTGAATACCCAGATGCCAGGTATGTGACCCAGATTCATGCCCAGGTCATCAAGAGATTCTGGACCCACAAGTAACGTGTCATGGAGCCATGGGTCCCCTCTTGTCCTACATAGATCATGCATATAGAATCATGATCTCCTGGGATAGAGCTGAAATCCAAAGTGTTTAACCATGGGTTTGATGTGGGGGTTGATCAATCCCCACCCCCCACCCCCCCCCACCCCCCTGCCGCCCAGGCACAAGCTGCAAGGAAGCTGTATCAAACTGCCTCTTGAGTTGCTTGGTTGTGTTTCTAGTTGTGGAAGGTCCCAAGGGAGAACTGGGGTGCTGATGTAGAGGTGTCAGGGCGGGGAACACTTGGAGGAGGACTCCCAGCAGCTATTCTTTATCAACCGGGACAGAATATTTTCAATATCTGAACAGTGAACATGATCCTATCAGAGGATGTTGGCTGTGTGCCAGCTTTGCCTTGGGGTGGCACCCATCTGCCTCCCCATCTTTAATTGTTTCCAATAGAACTTGAACTATTGTAAGAAAAAATAGAGAAAAAGTCTAAGCTGCAGCTGTAAGGACTGGAGCTAGACATGGGAAGGACTTTCCTTACAGTTGAGAGTCACTAAAAGGAAGCTAGGAGGAAGCAAGACTCCTCTGGTCTCTGGAGAGAGAGATCTGTTTGGCCTGGGTCTTGGGTTGTGTGTTGGAGATCAAGGGATGATGGAGTGACTTCTGGGGGTACTTACTGGCCTGAGAAAGAGCTGCTGTGGGTGCTGGGGGATAAACCTGATATCCTACACACATGTGCTGGCCTGTCCAGAGAAACACAGCTGCCATGTGTTTGGGGTGCCCTGCCTGAAAGAAAGGAGGACAAAGGGCACCCAGGGCCCCCTTTAACAGAGGTGAATACTGTCCCTGCTGGGCACCCCCATGCACACCTAACTCCCCTCACACACTGACAACAAACCTGGCCAAGAAAGAGGCCATTGTCCTAGGACATCTGAGGCTGCTGGGGGAGGGGAGAAGGCTACAGGTGAAAGGACACATCAAAGCAGCAACTGCCCCTCCTCCCCAAAATAGCTCCCCTACCTCTCTCCCAGAACCCAGGCTTTCCTGAAGTAAAAGCAATGCCCTAAATGCCCACCTGCCTAAACAATTGGGACACTAGACATTTGATCCTTATCTTCAGCTGCCATCCACCTTGCTATGACTCAGTTTCCCTGTCCCTAAGAGAGTCAAGGGGACAGAAGGAAGGAGGTTAGACTTGTATAAAGTTTAGAGGTCACCTTGGAGTGGGCTACCAGGTTGGAATTTATCATATGCATAGGAGAAACGCAGGCCTGGCCGGACTCCTGGGCTCAAAAGGAGGGCTGGGAGGCGCTGGAAGCCATGTGTGCCCCCGCTGGCTGGGAGCAAGGTGGGGGCGGGGTGTGGGCAGAAACCACACCGGGCTCAAGTTTCCTCTCTTGGCCAGAAGGGGCAGGAGGAGAGGAGGGCCACGGGGAAAGGGGAGGGTTGGAGGAAGGACGGAGAACTCAGGCCGAGGTCTTCGGAGAGGAGGCTGGTGCGCCACCCGGCGCTCCCCGTGCTCAGGCCGAGCCTCCACACTCAGCGCTCAGTAATGGCCCGGGGGCGGGGCGCAGCCCTCCCCTGTTTTCAGAGGTAGCAGGGATCCTCACCCAGGAGGTGTCAGCGCAGGCCCAGCCTCCCCAGAGACAGCACCGGGAGCCACATCTCTCTCCTCACCCAGCTCGGACCCTGCCACAGGTGCCTGAGGGGCGGGGTGGGTGGGCGATTCCAGTGGGATCCAAGCGGCAAGCTGGGGAGGTGGAGGTGGCAGATGAGAAAATCACCAACTTTCTGCACATACCTAGGAGATCTCGGGCCCTCCCAGGCTGCCCCTGGTTTAGGAATCTGACATCTTTGGGAATTCATCTGGGAGAAGACCTAGATGACTTATTGAGCACTCTGAGATTCTTGGGGTGAGAGGCTGTAGATGGGGACCAGACAGTGGTCCTCTGAGGCACCTTTGAGGGGCCGGGGGTGACCCTGAGTAACCCTTCAGCAGGGGACTGCCCCAGGGAGCCGATAGACTCTTAGGTGTATGGTACCAGCCTTTCCCCTACTCTATTCCATCTTGCTGCCCTGTCTGGCCAGCTGGGAGGATTTGGGGGAAGGTGAGGAACTGGAGACACTGGATGCCTGGATGGGTGGGGAGCACAGCAGAAGGATGGGGTGGTGGGCGCAGGGCTGTTGAGCTCTTGCCTCCTTTGCCCCTTGTCATCTCCGGGCCTGGGCAGTCGAGCTCAGCTAGAACTGGCTGGGAGAGGAGGGCGTCCTACCCCAGTGCAGTTCCTTCAGACCAGAAATCTTAGCAGCTTGGGAAGTAGGAGGCTGGGTAGCAGTGGAAGAGAAGAGGAAGGTAACAGATCTGCTGGGGCTGGGATTCTCTAGTCATTGGCCCTCAGATGACTGGAGTTTGGTTTCTAGGGACCGAATGGGGATAACATAAACGTGTCCCTTTCTCCCTTGTTCCCATACACCTGTTTGAGTCACGTATACCCTCAGGAGACTAAATCTCACTCTGATTAACTCTCTCTCTCTCTCTCTTCCCTTTTCCTCCGTTCTCTTTCTCTATTTCACCTCTATGTGTCTCTCCCTCTTTTGGGGTTGGTCCTAATATTTCTGAATAGTCTGCTCACCTGCCACTCCACACCCCAGGCTTCGTGGATCCCTCCCCATCCCTTCCCTGCTTCTATTGATAGCTGGACAGGTGGGGTGGTCTAATCAACCTCAGAACAGGATCCCAGAGGCAAGCACCCTCTCTCTTTCTCCCCGTCAAGGCATCCCTCCACAAAGGGTCCTCATTTTGAATCTTTAAATATAAAGCTCTATATCATTCTGTGAGTACTCAGAGACTGTGATAAGAGCTTTTTGGGTAGGACCATCAGGATCAGAGTCAGGAGGACGGATTATAGTCCCTGCAGATGGCTCCAGTCCTACCTGGTACATGTTGGTAGGGAGGAAGATGGCTGTGTGACCCCAAAGTGCAGGTTAAACTGGAAAGTGGGAACTGTATGTTGTAAAGCAAAAGGGACACAGGGAGGCTCACTCTACTTTCCCAGGATCTGTTGTTTCTGCATCTTCTGTGATGTTCTGTTTGACTCAATTCTGACTACACCCTCCTATACCGCTAGTGGCCAGCGCCAGGCCCCCAGGCCCATCCTGGAAAAGTAGGCTCCTAAGACCCAGAGGGGCCTATGCCTGGTAGATAGACCACCAACAACCACTGAGTATCTAGGGAAAAACATACTACTCCTCTTTGGCCTGGTGCAAACTTGCCCCTGCACCAGAGAGGTGGTTGGAGCTGATCCAGAGATTCTCATCAACTCCCTCTTCTCTGGCCTCCTGCCTCCCGCAGGGACCCTTCTGGATTCTCATTTCCCTGTCCCAAAGGCGCATGAGAAGGGGCTGATATCTAGTCTCAGAGGCTAGGGCAGCTTAGAACCCAGCTTTGCCTGGGTCTGAAGCTAGGAGAAGTCTGGAGGTCATTTGCCAGGCTCTTTTCTGGCTTTGTGTTCTTTCCTGTAAATACATATGGTTGGACTAGTTTAGCGTTTTTCAAGGTGGGGTGGGCCTCTGGCATCAGAAACACTAGGGCGCTTGTTAAAATGCTGCTTGCTGGGTACCTGCACCTATGAATTCAATTCAGTAGGTCTGGGGGTGCCTGGGTGGCTCAGTCGTTAAGCGTCTGCCTTCGGCTCAGGTCATGATCCCAGGGTCCTGGGATCGAGCCCCGCATCGGGCTCCCTGCTTGGCAGGAAGCCTGCTTCTCCCTCTCCCACTCCCCCGCTTGTGTTCCTGCTCTCGCTAACTCTCTCTCTGTCAAATAAGTAAATAAAATCTTAAAAAAAAAAAAAGAAAAGAAAATTCAGTAGGTCTGGGACGACTCACAGGAGCCCATGTTTTTACAAGTACAACAGGTGACTGCGGTGCACAATCAAGTTGGTGACTGCCTCTCGCAGTCCTGTCTCCATTTAGTGGAAGAGACTGAATGGGGAAGTGATTTGCCCGAAGTCTCGCATTTGGAAGGCCAGAGAACCTGGTCTCCTGCCTGCCTCCTAGGGCAGGATCATTGTACTGCACCTAAGAGTCAGATCCAGGAAGATGCAAGGAGGGACAAAGTTGGGGGGGGGGGGTGCGGTGTGGTGTGAAGGACTATGAGGCAAGAGTCATTGTCCCTGCCCCCTAACCCCCTTCTCCATTCACTTTGCCTTTGGGCAATTTCCTCCAGAACCTGGGTGGGGGAGGGTGGGGTTCCGGTGTTGAAATGGCATCCTGGACAGACATAAACACCCCACCCACTTTGCCCACTGGCCAAGCGCCTGTGCCTACACCCCCTCCCAGCCCTGGGGATGGCAGTATAACAAAGGGTGGGGGGGCAAGGGCTAAGGGAGATCCTCCTTCCAATGGATAATTTGGAGTTCTTACTAATTTTGGGTTAAGTCAAAGAGTAGATTTCATATTGGATAGCTGTGACAGGCCATCCTTGTGGTGATCTAAGGTCATGCAATTTGAGGTCATCCCATCCTATCCTCTGTCCTTTTATAAGTTTCTCCCACCCCCAGCCTGCCTGCCTTTACTTATATGGTAGGGGTGCGGTGCTGTGTCTGGCCCTAAGATATTGGGAAGCCCCTGTGAAATCTGCTTGGCATCTCTTGTTAAAGGCTGGGTGAACAGGTGCAGGGAGATGGGTGTCAGGGGATAGGGAGGCAGGATGAGGAGAGGGGCAGATAGAGAGAAGATGAAGGTGGCGGGGTGGGGGAGGGTTTGCTGAGAACAGTAAGCTGCCCGAGCAGAAAGGGACCTCTGAGTTCAACTTATCCAACTCCTTGGTTTTATAAATGAGGAAACAGAAGCTCAGAGCAGCGGCGATGGCTTGCCCAACCTCACACTGCTGCTCGGTGGCTGACTGGCAGCTAGAGCTCAGATCAAAAAAAGGTGGGGGGGGGGACTGTGTTTTTAAGGCTCTAAAGAGATATTCCCTCAGAAGAAAAGAGACAGATACCACAGAAAGAACTGACTGAGGTAAACCACCACTAGAGGCTCAGAGAATGGAGACACAAGAGTGGGCTGGCAAGGTGTCTGAGAGGCCAGTAAAGCCTCGCAGGGTCAACTAGTATATCTTCCAGACCTGCGCCTGCTATCGATCAGGTTGGGTCCCAATTTCTGAATGGACCTTATAGGATCTTTGTGAAAATCAATCTCAAACTAATGCTTGTAAAACATCAGCACAGTTCTTGACAGTGCTTAATAAGTCTTTGCTATGATTGTTATATTACCTTAGGAACCCTGGAAGCCTGGCTGTGTGGGTTGGGGTATGGCCGAGATGACCCTACAGGGACATAGGACAGAGGTCCAGTGTCTCCAGAGACCATTCCTCCTCTGCTGCCTCCAGCTGATAAACCTCTTATCAGGCCCAAGCAGGGGAGCCCAGAGTCAGGATAGGAGGAGAAGGCAGAGCTGGTATCAGCCACCAGGCCTGGGCCATATCTCAGAGAAGGGGAGGGGCTGTCTGCTTTGCTCTTCCCACAACATGCTCCTTGGGGATCCCCAAGCACTCATTCTCAACCTTGGAAGATGAGACAGAGGAGGAAAACTGAGGACAGAGGAGGAAAGCAGGAGTGATCCCTGATGTTGCCCCAGAAAATGGGGAAAAAAACCCCCAGAAGATGTGACTTCTGCCCTGGCCAGTGATACAGTTTGGGGGAGTAAGAAGAAGGGGAAAGGGAAGGCATCTCGTCTGAAAAAGAAGGTAAGGACCCACTGCGCTCCCAAAGGACCTGACCACAGCCATAGCAGGTGAGGTGGAGCTCACACTGCAGAGAAAGCCTTTGCAGCTTAAGGAGTCGGTTGATGAGGACAACATAATTCGGGGGATGAGGCCTCTCCTTCTCTCAGGTGAGGCTGCAGGGAGCTCTCCATGGAGGCAGGACAAAGTTGCTGGCCCCTAGCAGGAGGAGCCTTAACCTATATCTCCTGGTTTTATTATTATTATTATTATTACTATTATTATTTTTAACCTGTTTCTCCTTTGACACAGGTTTCTGGGGCCTTTTGTGCTTTGGGGATCCTGGACCAGGCCCTGGCCCAGTAGGATGCCCCCGTGTCCTCCCCAGCAGAGCAGGGACAGGGTGACACAGTTGCCCACTCCGGAGCTGGGCGAGATGGAGCTGACTTGGCAAGAAATTATGTCCATCACTGAGCTGCAGGTGAGCAGATTTGGGGGGACCTGGGGGAAAGAGCAGAAAAGCAGGGAGTCTGGCTGGGACTGGGGCAGGGGACTGGAGCAAGCAGGGAATGTTCCAGGCACTGGAAAAGGAAGGGCTGGAGTAGGAGGGAGATCTGGATGGAAGACCAGAATATTAAGGGGAAAAGGGTGTGGAAGAGCAGGGGAAAGTAGTGGTGGGGAAGGAAGGATCTGATTGGGGGTGTAAGCTCTCTCAGCAGCCACTCTGCTCACATCTCTCTATCCCACCTCCTGCCCCGCCTTCCTTTTCTCACCTTCTTTCCTTCGGAACTCCCTCTCTTCCAATCCTGCCCATCTTCTTCCCTCATTTCCTCCCCTGTCCTCAGATGCTGGGCCCCTTTCCCTCAGGTAGCAGAGCAGTAGTTCAGGGGCCTGGAGAAGGCGGGGTGGGGGGGTCAGACTATGACGGGGTCCTCGCCTCCTACTAGTTGGACAAAGGGGTGTCTGTTGGCCTAACAATGATGCCTTTGTCCCCATCTGGGCTGGAGCACGGTGGCTCCTCCATGTGAGTTGGGGGCCCTGTTTCCAGCATGTTCTCTCCTCCTCTCCGCACCTGGGCAGGGACAGAGGGACTGAAGAGGAGAGGGTAGAGTTTATGCTAGCTCCCCAAGGTGCCTCAGCCCCCAGACCTGGCTCTGCGCCGCCCCCCGCCCCTTCGCTTCCCTGCCACAATGCCCGGGGCCATCATGATCTGCCCTAAGCCCTCCTCCTGCTCAGCAGCTCCCTCTGCTGTGCACCCAGGGCATGGCCAGGGTCTGAACTTGACCCTTTTGACCCTAGATAACCACAGCAGGAAAGGGTTGGGGGGGAGGGCGGTCATCATAGATAACAACTTCTTGTCTTCCTGAAGGAAATAAAAGAAGAAGTGCCATTTCAACCCAGTAAGAACTTCTCCTGAAGAGGAGGAGATTCCATATTGTTGCAGCGTTAGATAGTCCTTTCCGAAGTCTGACCTCACTGACTTCCATTCCTGTTTAAGCTGCTTTCTGCTTGAAATAGCTGCACTGCAATCTTACAGGAAGCTTCGAATGATTTTTAGCACTTTTCTGTTCCCCTGTTATCTTACTGTGTCTTTCAGAAGGACCCAGCTTGGTCCTGCGAGAGAGCTCGTTTCTCTTCAGCCTGTCTCCAAAACCTCTTTGTGTCTTTCCTTGCAGGGCCTAAATGCTCCAAGTGAGCCATCATTTGAGCCCCCAGCCCCAGCCCCATACCCTGGGCCCCCGCCACCCCCAACTTACTGCCCCTGCTCAATCCACCCAGATGCTGGCTTCCCCCTTCCTCCACCACCTTATGAGCTTCCAGCACCCACATCTCATGTCCCAGACCCTTCATACTCCTATGGCAACATGGCCATACCAGTCTCCAAGGCACTGACCCTCTCAGGCCTGCTCAGTGAGCCCCTCCCAGATCCCTTGGCTCTCCTGGACATTGGGCTGCCAGCGGGGCCCCCCAAGCCCCAAGAAGACCCAGAATCTGACTCAGGATTATCCCTCAACTATAGTGACGCTGAATCTCTTGAGCTGGAGGGGACAGAGGTTGGTCGGCGGCGCAGCGAGTATGTAGAGATGTACCCAGTGGAGTACCCCTATTCACTTATGCCCAACTCCTTGGCCCACCCCAACTATGCCTTGCCACCTGCAGAGACCCCCTTAGAACCCTCCTCAGGCCCTGTGCGGGCCAAGTCCACTGCACGGGGGGAGGCGGGAAGTCGGGATGAGCGTCGGGCCCTGGCCATGAAGATTCCCTTCCCGACGGACAAGATTGTCAACTTGCCGGTAGATGACTTTAATGAGCTGTTGGCACGGTACCCACTGACGGAGAGCCAGCTGGCATTAGTCCGGGACATCCGACGGCGGGGCAAGAACAAGGTGGCCGCCCAGAACTGTCGCAAGAGAAAGTTGGAGACCATTGTGCAGTTGGAGCGGGAACTGGAGCGGCTGGGCAGTGAGCGGGAACGGCTTCTCCGGGCCAGAGGGGAGGCTGACCGGACCCTGGAGGTCATGCGCCAACAGCTGACAGAGCTGTACTGTGACATTTTCCAGCACCTGCGGGATGAAGCAGGCAACAGCTATTCCCCTGAAGAGTATGCTCTGCAACAGGATGCTGATGGGGCCATCTTCCTGGTGCCCCGGGGTACCAAGATGGAGGCCACAGACTAAGCTGGCCCGGAGGGGTGGGACTGGTGATGGAGATTTCCTTTATTCCCTTCTGATAAAGGTACTCCCCAGAAGAAGCTGGGTTCTCTAGACCAGAAGGGGACAATGGGAAACCTGGCATTTGGAGGGTCCAAGGTGTATTCAGCAAGGCTTGCCTTGAGACAAGTGTATGAGGGGAGGGCTGGAATCTCTTTTCTGTGATTCAGCTTCCTAGGTCTCCAACCTCCACCTCGTTTGAGCTTTGGTATATAAAGCGCTCTACACAAATAGCCTTCCACTGTGTCTTCCTTCTCAAGAGAGGGTGATGAAGCTGAGTACTGAGTTCAGTGCTTGTTAGTGGTGGGGAAGGAATCCTGCCAAGCTCATTTCTTTCTCCTGCAGCTCTGTATGACAGAGGTATGCAAAAAATTTGGGCTTGAGCAGTGTGATCTATCACCTTCATCTCCTTTTTCAGAGCCAGAGGTCATGGATGATCTGAGGAATCCCACCCTCCCGGGGGGCCCACTATTTATAGAGTGGGGATTGCTGCCAATGCTGGCTACACCCTCTGTGCAAGGTCCCCGAGGTTCAGACCTGTCTGTGGAGCACAGAAAAGTCTAGAATGCCCATAGGCCTTTTTTCTGTTCTCTCCATCCTGCCTACTTCTATTGGATTTCCTCATCCTGATGTGCCAGAGCTCTCAGAAGTCTGAGATGCTCTTGATTTGAGAGAATTTGATTGGACAGCATAGTTTCAAGGGACTTCATACCCAAGTCTGGGTAAATCCTGCTCCCCGAGGAGTAGGTTATGCCTTTTGGGAACTTTCGTCTCCTTGGTTACATTAGACACACTATCCAATCGTTTTGGGGCCTCCCTTTTCTAGATCCTCAAAGATCTAGGGTCTTTTTTTTCCTTAAGTAGAACACGATTTAAGTTCTAGAATTCTTTATTACATCAAACTCCAATCAAACTTCTCTCACATTACACCATCTCCTTGAATGGAGTTGCGTGGTTCCTATCTTTCCAGTCACTGGATTACACAAATTACCTCTTTGGGGTTTTTTACTTCTATTTATACTTCTACTCAACTTTAGTAGCTCCATTCCAAAAAGGAAAACGTACTCCTACTTTCAAGTTCTGATAGACACTCAGTTGTGAGACATGAAAAGCGGACAATGATCAAAGGTGTAGTCTTCATGCTTACAGATTCTCAGAAACGTGGTCTCTAAGCTAGGTTGGGGAATGAAAGCAATTTAAGGCTTCTGATTCCTAATAGATCTGAAAACAGTTCAGACAACTTGTGAACTTTCTCAAAAAATTGAAAATGCAGGATCAAGTTGTAAAGGGCAGTGCCCGGGATTAGCTGTTCAGCAACTTGATTAGTTCACCTAAAAGACATCAGGCAGTTTTTTTTCGCTTTTAAGCAAGCTCCCAAAAGTGGTAATTCAGAGGCAAATTTAGACATTTATCCAACACTTGAGCACCTAGGTTCTAGTATTGTCCTAGGCACTGGAGATAAAAATGGGGAGAAATGCCCCCGTCTCCTGAAGTCAGATCTATAGTAGTACATTACTTGGTGTGTACCTAACTAAAGCGAAAGGTGGAACAGCTTTGGAGCATGATTTGGATTCTGTTCCACATTCAAAAACTTTTAAACAGGTCATCTTCATCTAAAAAGTTAGCTTAACTAGCAACCTTTTATTTGTAAAGCATGTTGTGAAGTACATAGTGTGATAGAAGCATAACGTCATTTTCTTCAATAGCTGTATTTAGTACTCGGTGGCCTGTGTTGTCCTGTCCTTCTAAACCAGGATTGAGAGAAACCTGTTCTAGTAACTCCAAGCCACAAATGAGATTCTTAAAATCATAGCAATAAAGACTGCCCATACATTTACACCTCTCTACCCCTCTTACTAGTTTGAAAATCAAGGCCGGATCTTTTCTTGAAGGCGGTAGTTTAAGCATTTGCTAGGGGGTTAATTATTGCTCCCAAATTTTTGCGTCACTTTTGAAAAACTTGATCTTCCCCTCCATATTCATCTTAACCTGGTTCCAGATTTTTTGGAAGCCAGAAATAGCTGGCAATAAATACTTGCAGAACAATTATAAACAGCTTTAAAGTGATGGGCCAAGATTTAATCCTTCAGCAAGAGCCAGTTTGATTTCACTAGACCATGCTGCTGATAGGATAACTTTTATGTATTAATACATGGTATTACCACTTGTGCTCCAAAAAGCTAAATATTATTCATTTTTTACTTTGGGGAAGGGTGGGAAAGAACCATTCCCAACAACCTAATCTTAACATGTTAAATGTCCCACCTTTCTTAACATACCTAAAGTCTAACTTGTTCCTTTAGAAGGATCCAAGGAAGCATGAATAAGGAATGAAAAGGGACAGACTTTCAACTCTGCTAAAAAATTCTGACCTACCATTATCATGAAGGGAAAAAAAAACCACACCAGAACCAAGTTAAAAGCATTTTATTTAAAAAAGTCCATTCATAAAACTGAATAATTTAAGCTGCAGAGCAGCTAACTGCATGGCAGTGAAAATGAGGTGCAGTGGCTCGGATAAAGGTTGTCCTCATTAAGGATGTTGCTGCAAGAAAGAAAAAAAAAATTAGGAAGTGTTTTACATATGCACTTCAAAGATCCTACAATTATACTCATTCTGTTTACTGGGAACCCAGTTACTTTAAGACATTTTGCTGGCTAAGGTAGACGATCTCATTTTTTTTGGTTCTCAGGCACAGCTTGCCATTCTTTACTTGGGCAATACCAAGCACTTTTGCTGATCATGAAGTTCATAAATAGCTTACCTTTTAGCCATAAATTTGGACAGATGAATTTCTGATTTTTTTTGTTTTTTTTTTTTTTTTTAAAGAGAGTTGATTAGCCTGGAGTAGCAGACTCCTCCCTAGAAAAGTAAACAACCTTTAGAACTAGCTTTTCTGAGACCAAGTCCCAGCTCAGGGTAAATCCCCCACCCCCCCCAAATTAATGATCCACCCTTCCCTCCCACCATGTTTTGGGGAAGATTCTAATGCATTACTTTGAGCCATTGTTTTAAGGAAATGGGTTAAAGGAAGGTAGCAAATAAAATTAAAGGGCAAAAATATATTGTCACAGTAGAATTAGTGTTCACTTCATTTGGGAGCCAAGTCTAGGGTGTCAATTTAAAACAATTGATCTCCAGAAAAACCAAGTTCAGCTTAACTGGACTAGTTTTGGCTCAATATTATTAAGGATAATGTAACAGAAAATCGGATTTTAGGTAACCCTATATGGATGTAAGTAAAATCTGTTCTTACCTACCAGCATAGCAATAAAACCTTTCCTCCTGGTTCTGACTGCTAGTCCTAAGAGTCAGGTGTGCCTTACTCTTGTCTGCCTCCTTTCTTGCGATGGTCACTGAAACTTCACTCCCTCCTAGCTTTCATGGAGCGTGCCGTGGCCTGCCCCTGGCTTATCTGTACTCCACATACCACAAGTGTCTACTCTCAGCTGTAGAGTGTCTGAGCTCGGAGCCATTCGCGCTATACTTGCTAGCAGTTCCTAGTAGCTGAACATCTCTCCTGGATCTTTAAAGGCATTGTCACGAATCCTGAGGTATCTGCAAACTCCCTCAATAGTTAAGGTTCCACCTGCCATTGCAAACTCAGCCAATATCAAACTCATGGAACTATCAACCATGCTTTCCCACCCACCTCCCCCCCACTCCCTGCCCACCCTCCTCCCCAAACTTCCAAGTAACACACCCATGAGATGGAATACACAGTCCTAGTGATAAACAATTTTCTATGCTAATCAGGTACAATGGCACTGAAATTGAGGGTACCAAAGGGAGGGCTCAAGAACCTATGTAACAAATAACAATGATTGGATATTAAGTAACTGTAAAAGGCTTTAAAGAAATCATTTTCTATACAATTAACATTTTAGGATGGTTGTGTGCTGTACCATATTTAAAGGAAAACTGCAGTTAACATGAATATAATAAGGTTCCTCACCATCTCCATAATTTTAATGTCCAAATAGATTCAATAGTATGATTAATCTATAAACCTCTATTAAGGACCCACCCACCAGAACAAAGTAAAACTGCTGTTTTCCTTTAATGTAAGCCTGTTTTTGTATTAAAAATAAGATATTCTTACTGGTGCTGGTCAGTTTAAAAAGGTCTCCCAAACACTTCTAATCTGTGCACTTATGGGGTGGCATTAGCCAGCAGCTGGTTTCTATTCTCTGGCAGAGTTTTGAACTTGAATCGTGATAGAAGCATTCAACATTATGAGGGGTAGTGGGTAGGGAAGTCCAAAGCTCTGCCAGTCCCAAATCCATACAGTTGTCATTCCATTCAAGAGAATATTAAATCGTTTATTGATTACACATGATAATGGATGATACACAAGCTTTAATCCCATCTATAATTTTATCTGATACCATAATTCAATTTAGATATATTGCATAGGATGTGCCAACAATCATATTAAGAACCAAATAAACTCCAGGACTTTGCTTGGGTGACCCTTTTAATGGTGAACTCCAGGTCACAACACATTAACTGTCAGTTCAACTACACCAAGGTTTGTGGAGACAATGGCGTCTGTGCCCAAGCAGGTTGCAAATCAATTTCGAATGGAACCTGGCATCACCCTGAAGGAAATTCTAACTTCACACTGTTGGGGTAGTATACCAAGATGGCTTCAGAGTAGACTAACTTTACACAGCACATTTAAAAAAAGACACATTTATTCAGCGTCATGATCAGACTATTACATTTAGCAATCAACAGCATGGGTGCAAAAAAAAAAAAAAAAAATCTACATTAAAACCCTTTGTTGGAATGCTTTACACTTTCCACAGAACAGAAACTAAAATAACCTGTTATACAATTAGTCACAAATACAGTCCTCGAGTTTTTTGCCCATACACATGAGTATTGTCTAAAACATGTCTTCTTTGTAGCAGCTAGGCCCTGCCACCACTGTGCTTGGCTGAGTTCACAAATCTGTTGTAACCTGTAGCTTCCCTGTCACTTCTCTGGCTCTCCTCTCCTGCTAAGCTTTGTTTCCTGTTGAACAATATGGAATAAAGTTGTTAATCTAAACATATTAAGACTCAAAGCTACAATCCAATAGCAAGTTTTGTTTCCCACAAATTTTGCTGATCTGAATATTAACTTAATATCCAAAATTTTACTGCAATTATAATGTTAACTATGTTGCACTGCTCAGCTACATTAGGGTTACTGGGTTTCATTATCATTTACAAAAATTAACTTAAAACATAAAAAGGTGTTTACTTACCTGGCAGTAATTAAAACCTTCTGCCACTGCCATAGCTACTGCTGCTGCTGGAACCACCATAGCCACCTAAAAATACAATTTGTTCCTTTGAAGCTTTGGAGGTGCCAACAGTTAAGACTTTCTGTACAGGGGGGGCAATCAAAGTTCAAATTTTTCTAGAGTTTGAGCTCACATGACTTTCCCAATTTGATTGCAAATTACCCGGTCACTTAAATTTCCTAAAAGCTTTAAATCGTCAGCGTTTCACTATCTATACAGACATTACCTAAAAATTAACGTATTTTTTACTGGAACTAGCTAGAGACACCTAGCATTCCAACAGTGCATATATACAATACCTTGGTTTCGTGGTTTGGCAAAGTATTGGCCTCCACCACCATAGGGGCCAGAGCTTCTGCCTCCAAAATTTCCTCCTTTCATGGGTCCAAAATTTGAGGATTGATTGTTGTAATTGCCAAAATCATTATAGCTTCCGCCACCTCCAAAGTTGCTTCCTAAGAATGGAAAGAGGCCCTTTATCTGTTACTTGAAGATGGTAATTCTGAATTTTATTTAGTGCTCAGAACAAAAAAAGAAAAAAGAAAAAAGAAAAAAAAAAAAGCTGCATGTTCTGCTTGCCTTCCTCCCAAACTCTGGTAGCTCCGAAGTTTAACTATTTCATCCTTTTCTGGGCAAGGCACTGAGATGAATATTCCAGTACTTTAAAAAGATTTATCCAATGCACCGTGGCATAACAGCATATTGTCTAGCCTTGAAAGCCTCTATCCATCCAAGGCCCTGCGAACACATGCTGGATATATCCACTACGTGCCTTGCCTAAGATCCAAAGGAGTTAAGATACTAAATCCTGCTGGAAACTAATCTAATTCTGATTAAAGACACCGCTATCCACTTATCCATCTATCTAATTTGGGAGTGAGGCGGCCCCAGCTTAAAGCTAGGAGGAGGTAGCATTAGCAAGCCCATTAAAAAAGAATACCATGCATTGTACCACATAATGCTTTTAAGAGCATCAAATCCCCTTACGGGTATAAACTCTAAAGGGCTAATCTAGCTGTTGCACCGAGTACTTGGATCACTGGATACCTACCACTACCACCGCCATAGCCGCCTCCGCCTCCTCCGTTGTTATAGCTGTCATAGCTGCCACTCCCGCCATAGCCACTGCCCTGGTTTCCATAACCCTGTCCACCACTTCCATAGCCTCTGCTTCCTCCAGAGTAACCAGGGCCGCCTCCTCCATAACCACCTACAAGAATACAATTCTTCTCAATAAGACAAAAGTATTCAACAATCAAAACCTGTGCAAGTGTAATGCCTAAAAGCCTGCACACAGCATGCTGTTATCAGAGCTGAGCTTGTCATGCACTAGTTTACTAACCTAGTCTAAAGGTTGCCAAAAGAAATTTCACCTATGAACTCCTTCAACTTACCATCATTACCAAATCCGTTATAGCCATCCCCACTGCCACCATATCCACCACCACCTCGACTGCCACCAAAGCCACCTGGAAGAGAAAATTTTATACCACTTTTTGAAGTATATAGATTATACATTGTTTTTACCCTTCTAAACCTAAATCTTTTAAAAATTCCTGCGTTACAAAAATTGTTTTTATACTCAAGATTTAACCTGGTTAGTGAGAAAGTCAAAACTACATTTGGGTAAAATTGAACTCTGGAAATGTTGGCCAGTAGCTACATCTACTACAGGTTGCAAAGAGGATAAATCATCTGGGGATAATCAAACTACAAGCCTATTATTCTTAGTGGTAGGCTATAACCACACATACCTCGACCACTGAAGTTCCCTCCACGACCAAAGTTGTCATTCCCACCAAAACCACCTCCACGACCACCACCAAAGTTTCCAGAACCACTTCGACCTTAAAAGATAAGTTTTAAATGTTAAATCATACACATTGAAATTGCTTAGCTATCTATACTGATTAATCAAATAAACCCACCTCTTTGGCTGGATGAAGCACTAGCCATCTCTTGCTTAGATAGGGCTTTCCTTACTTCACAGTTGTGGCCATTCACAGTATGGTATTTTTGAACTAAAAAATTACCAAGAGAACACCATCTCAGTTTAGAATGTAACACGGACTTCAGAGCCCTTAGCAAAGAGCATGCCCCTGATACTTACTGACAATCTTGTCTACAGAGTCATGGTCATCAAATGTTACAAAAGCAAAACCTCTCTTTTTGCCACTGCCCCGGTCGGTCATGATCTCGATCACTTCAATCTTCCCATACTGTTCAAAATAATCTCTTAGATGATGTTCTTCAGTGTCTTCTTTAATGCCACCAACAAAAATCTTTTTCACAGTTAAGTGGGCACCAGGTCTTTGAGAATCCTAATATTTGAAAAAGCCCAATTAAGTTACTTACATCAGCAAAGGCATCCCTGATAAAGATCATTAAAGTGTGTTAAGACCACAAAATTGAAGTCCACCTAGTGGCACAGTTCTAAATCGTCAGAGAAAGGAAAAAAATTATTACTCACTTCTCTTGAGACAGCCCTCTTTGGTTCCACAACTCTCCCATCCACCTTGTGTGGCCTTGCGTTCATGGCTGCATCCACCTCCTCCACAGTGGCATACGTGACAAAGCCAAAGCCTCTGGAGCGCTTGGTGTTTGGATCTCTCATTACCTGGAATGTTAACTCATTTAATACATAGTAAAACCCCAGAACTTATCGTTTCTACCTTAAGTTAATGAAAGTCTTTGTATCAGCCTTTCAGTTTCCCACTACCCATCTAATGTAAATTTAACTAGGACCTTCTAATTAGGTAAAGCTACTTTCCCTTGTCGAATTATTTTCAACTATAATCCTGTTAATCTTCATAAGCACAGTAATTACAACAAAACAATCCCAGTAAATGAACTAGTTCTACTGGCCTTTTGTCTCTTCCAAGTCTTACCACACAGTCCGTAAGCGTTCCCCATTGCTCAAAATGGCTCCTCAAACTCTCATCGGTTGTTTCAAAGCTCAAACCTCCGATGAAGAGCTTCCGCAGCTGTTCAGGCTCTTTGGGAGACTAGGAGCAGGAGAAAAAACTCGTTACGTGGGGGCTATAACGCCAAACACCTTTCAGTTAGGAAAAGCAAAACCAGACAACTATGTTACGTAGCCCTTATTGTTCCTTCGGGTCACAGCAAGCCACGTGCTTCTCCCCATTAGGGGAGATGCTATGTTGGGGGCTGGGAAGCCACGAGCGCATGCGTCCCTACTCTCCCTCCGACGCACGCGCAACAAAAGGACTGGGCTGGAAGGATACATAAACAGCAGGGAACTGGGGCTGTTCTTTAAGAACTCGCCCCCTGAGACAAAGTAAAACAAAACCAATCAAATGTGCCTAACTGTTTTGCCAGGAGGGGAAAGCCCGGCGTGATAACCAAGCGTTGCAGGACGGCGGCCTCATGGCGACGACGAGGACAAAATGGCGACCTGAACTTTGGGAGGGGTAGGCCCTGGCAGCAACCGAAGAACTGCCGAATTAGCCGGCGCAAGGAACCGAACCAGGCCGCATCCTACCGAACTCAGGAAGGAACGAGGGAAAAAAATTAGATTGGAGACAGCTTGTTACTCACCTCTGACTTAGACATGACGGCGGTGGGAGGGGAGACTTTAACGATGCTTACTCGGCGGCGTCCACGGGCAGAAAGGAGTAATCTAACGAACGTATCTGCCAGCCTACCTTCGGCCTCGCTTTTTTATCCCGCCTCCTCGCTTTAGGCATTGGTAGACTCCGCCCCTGAGTATCTCTGATTGGATATTTGCAATAGCTTCTCCCTGCTATTGGTCTGTAGTCCCGCATTGCTGTATAACGTCATCCGTTTGGGCGTTCTACGTAGTCCCCACCCCTTAGGGGCCATTGGTTCCCGGGTAATATTACCCTTAACTAGTGTGATTGGCTCGCCAAGCAATCATTCATATTTGAATGTACCTAAGGTATTTAAATAAATTTTTAATCCTTCACGCCTGGAAATTAGTTTAACCCACTTGGCAAAGTACGGTTAATACTATGTCTTAGGAAAGAAGTTAGCGGGTGACTTTTTTTTTTTTTGCAACGACCGCCTGCTGAGCGCATGTGTAGTAAAATGGCGAGTTTACGCAGGCGCATTAAGAAGCTCCGCTTGGCGCTTGGAGCACGTGAAATGGCGGGCGGGAGACGGCGGCGAATCTACAGCGCCTGCGTAATGGCGGGAGTTGTGCCCCGTTTTGCGCAGGCGTAATGGGCGGAGATAGGGTCCAGTCCCAGGATTGGTCGCGCAGGCGCAGGGAAGGATCCGTTTTGGCGGGCGGTTGGCGTTGCGCAGAAGGCGGCGGCGGTGGTGTCTTGTGGTCTGGCCTCACCACAGAGGAACAGGGAAGACATTAGCGTGAGTGATCGGTCTCGATTCCGGGTAAGTGGCGGATAGAATTGCCTACCCATATGAGGTCTTGAACTGACTCCAATTGGGCCCGTTATTGTGTGAAATGAATGGACCGCGGGGTGGGGGCTAGTGAAGGGGGAGCGGTGCGTTCGGCCAACCAATGGAAGAACATGGGCGGGATGTTTTATTCCCGTAAATTCTATGGAGCTTTGCTGCCGGAGAGTTTGACTGGCTTGTGTATGGGCCAATTGGGTCTGCCTTTGGCTGGCGACTGATCGGTCCTTGGGCCATCGGAATGTGGGAGGCGGGTTTTCTGCTCCTGAGCAGCGTCTCCCTGAGCCAATGAGCACGGAGCGCGCGGTAGGTTGGGCTCCTCCAAGAGGCAGCGGGTTGACTTCCAATGGGGAATGCAGGAGTCGGGCGGTTAAACGGATGGACCAAATTTGGAGCCAGTAGGCGCATTGCCTACGGAAAGCGCTCGGGCAGGTCGCCCAGTCAGCGGTCCAGAAGAGGAAGGTCTAAAATTTCGGGTAGTGAAGAGGATTCAATGCGTGTGATGGCGCGGCGGGTGCATATTTTATTCACAATGACTTCTCTAACGAAGCCTTTAGGCCTCCATCCCACATACCATTCTGGTAGGGAAACTAGAAGTTTGCTCCTGTATTGCTTCGAATTTGGCATTTTCACCGCTACATCGTTAGTTCTCATCACTCAGCACTTTTTAGGTTTTGAGAGGAGCAGGGTAGGTCTTTGGGAACTCACTTCTTTAGGACGACTGACTTGCAATGTTAGAACCAATAGGATAAATCTCTACTGTCGTGGAAAGGCGCCTGAGAAAAATCTACATAATGATGCATGTTTCTACGGACAAATGGATACTTGTAAATCCATTTACAAAGTTTTGGAAGGCTACATACTATAAAGTGTGTTATCTCTAGGGATAGATTGAGATCTAGGCAAGTTGGATCTCTAATGTTTAAGTCTTTTCAGGGATCATAATTTGTGGTTAAATAAAGGTGAAAAAGTCAGTTTTTGTGTTTCCAGTCATAATCACTTGCTGCTTACCTCCTCTTTTATCCTTACACCTCGAGAGAGTGCTGTGTTTTCCTTAAGAAATAAGGTGATCCTCAGGATAAGAAAACAAATTATAAGGGGCGCCTGGGTGGCTCAGTGGTTAAGCGTCTGCCTTCGGCTCAGGTTATGATCCCGGGGTCCTGGGATCGAGCCCCGCATCGGGCCCCCTGCTCAACGGGGAGGCCTGCTTCTCCCTCTCCCACTCCCCCTGCTTGTGTTCCCTCTCTCGCTGTGTCTCTCTGTCAAATAAATAAAAAATAAAATCTTTAAAAAAAAGTTTTTAAAATTTGTATTTTTTTATTTTTATTTATTTTTGTTGTTGTTTTTTTTAAGATTGTATTTATTTGCGAGAGAGAGAATGAGAGACAGAGAGCATGAGAGGGAGGAGGGTCAGAGGGAGAAGCAGACTCCCTGCCGAGCAGGGAGCCCGATGCGGGACTCGATCCCGGGACTCGATCCCGGGACTCCAGGACCATGACCTGGGCCGAAGGCAGACGCTTAACGACTGAGCCACCCAGGCGCCCCCAAAAGATAACTTTTTTGTGTGTACTTAGTACCTGCTAGGTAGATAGACATCGTGCTAAGGATTTCACAAGCATTATCTATGTCTCAATGCTTTTATCTTAGTCTCTTCTTTGAGGAACTTTCCCCCTGTGTATGTTCTTTCTTTACACCATTAAAGAGTTTCTAAGTTCTCTTTCTGCTCTTCCTTTGAGGATATCTGAATTTTGATAAGTTGCTTAACAAGGGTGATACTTAGGGTGTTAGGGACAGGAGGAGTCAGCCATCACCTGGATTATTCCATTGCCTTGATTATATTTCCTTCAAAGTGTTTATTTTACAGGCATTGTAATCACCTGTTGGTAACACCCATTCAGCTGATTTGAAGATGTTTTGTAAAAGAAATTTTCATTATATAATGGCCATATCAGAATCTAAATTGCTCTCTTGTTCACTGACTTAAGGTTAATAGAAAAATGTTTACTGTAATAATTTCAACTACATATGAAGTACACTTCTGATTAGTGACCTCTGTGACTTTGTACAAAAGTTAATTTTAGTTGACCTTGTAATGAACAGAGGAGAGATTTTTGTTCTCTGACACTTGCAAGAGGACAAATTTGTTGCAAATTGTTATAAACTGTTTGTTGGTATGCTAATAATGCAGCTGCTTCTGCTGAGTTTATAAGAACTAAAGGGATCTAGATTAAGGTTATCTGCCCCTAATTTATTTAGGTTCAAAAGGAATACAATTTTGATCTACAGGGTTTCTTGCAGCACTGTTGACATTTTGAGCTAATAAATGCATCTCATCTCCTCCCTCACCCCCATTTGTGACTGTCAAAATGTCTCCAGACATTGCCAGATGTCCTGGGGGTGTCAGTGGGGGTGATGGTGGTGTAAAATCTTCCTCAGTTGAAAACTTGATTTAGGGGCACCTGGCTGGCTTGATCGGAGGAGCACGTGACTCTTGATCTCGGGGTGGTGACTTCAAGCCCCACATTGGGTGTAGAGATTACTTAAAAAAAAAAAGAAAGAAAGAAAAGAAAACCATTGATTTAAAGTGACAGATGCTGGGGGTGCCTGGCTGGGCTCAGTGGAGGAGCATGCATGCGACTCTTGATCTCGGGGTCATGGGTTTGAGCCCCACATTGGGTGTAGAGATTATTTAAATAAACTTACATAAGAATAAATAAGTAACATGACAGATGCTGGAGTTGATTATCTTGTCAAAATCTTTTATTTTAATAATTGGAAATTAGAGGGAGAAGATGGGTGAAGTGTTTAGGAAGTGGCCTTTGGTAAATGGATCACTAAATCCTAACGGTTATCTCTTCAGATGTAGAGAGATCATCATTCCATTGGATAAAAGGAAAATTTCATTAAGTTTTTACCATTTCTTGCACTCTAAACATGATTGATTGCATCCTTGCATCCTGTATTTGTTTGGCTGCCTAAATAATGGCAGATATGTTTTGGACAAAGGTGGACTTTGGGTTAGATTCTTACTACATTTTCACTTGCTACTGGGATTCTTTTGGATCAATGTGTCTCAAATTTTTGATCTTGACCCTTACTAAGAAATACATTTACACTGTACACATATCGAAACAAGCTTCACTGTATGAATATATGTGCAAAGCACTCTGGTACTTTCTCATCTACAGTACACTTTCATTTTCTTAAAAACGCAGGTCAGTTTTTGCTGGTTTCGTCACTGTGTATAGACCCACAGATTGGGGAAAAAAGAAAACTGATCTGAAGAATAGGTAAATCTTGTCGTTTTAGAGTACTCCGAATGGGTTCCACCCATCTCCAGCCCCAGCTGCTTGGATTTATAAACAAATTAACCATGACCCTTTATTTGATGGTTTTAATTTGAAAGATTTCAGGATTTGAACATAGGCTTCTTGGTTTACTGTGATGTGCAAGTACACATTGCTTTTTTGTGAATTCTCTTACAGTGTTAGAGTTAATAGATCTGATGAATATTTCTCTCCAGTAGGAAAATTTTAGTGGATAATTTTTCATTGATATTATGAGACTATCACATTTAAAACTTTTTTTTTTCCTTAAGATTTATTTTATTTATTTGAGAGAGAGGGAAGCGTGTGCACGCTTGTGTGCAGGAGCCAGGGGCTGGTGGGGGCAGGGAGAGGGAGAGAATCCTCAAGCGGATTCCCCTCACAGCCAGGTGCAGAGCCAGAAGCGGGGCTCAATCCCAGAACCCTGAGATCATGACCTGAGCCGAAATCAAGAGTTGGATGCTCAACTGACTGAGCTACCCAGGTACCCCCACATTGAAAATCTTAAGTTTACACTTCTTGCCTTTGGAGAACCTGGTTTGGTTGTTCATTTGTACTGGCCTGTTAACAAGATGTTTAGCCTGTGTTGCAAGATTAAATTTCAAGTACTTGTGTTTACAACTTAAGGATATATTATTGCTGCCAAACCTAAAAGGATAGTGTTCACTAAAAGGGAACATAACACATCTTCACTGGTCTGTCTGAAAACCCAGGAAGTAGAAAGCTATCTGGATAGTAGGTGAGCAGGGTAATGGTTGAGGCAAAATAGAAAAAAGAACATTACTCTGCAGTGGCTGGATTTTTATATTTCAAGGAAAGTTTTGGTAGTTTTCAGAGCCCTTGTTAGTAGCTTTAGAAAAGAGAAAGATATCCAGGGTACAGAGGTTTCTGAGGAAGATTAGTAATTTTTATTTAGGTATTTTATTTAACTACATAGCATGATTTATATATCTTATTGGAATAGCACGTTTAACAAATCCAAGCATTTCTTTCCTTTTCTTGTTCTTTTGCTTGGTCTATTTTTATTTCCACTTACCTTACATGAAATTGGACTTAAAGCTGTGTGCTGTGGATATTGATTTTAAAAGTAGTAAATTACAAT